AAAATCCTATATACGAAAATGTGGATATTTCCAACACTTGTGAATGTTCGCAAATTCACCACCTGAACACTAAAAATTGACGATTCTAGCGATATTAAGATGTTAAAATTCGAATTTAAAGTTATGAGAAAATTACACATCTCTATCTATTTCATAGGCATTCCGATCCATTCCGAACAATTCCCAGCCATTCCTAGCCATTCCGATCCATTCCCTGCCATTCCGATCCAATCCTAGCCATTCGGAATGCCCGAGTGAGATTTTTCCCCCTTGGTTAGATCTCTAGAAATTAATGCTCATCGAAGTATAATATCAGCATAAGTCACTGTTCAAAAACAGAAAAAAAAACAACACTTCTTCAAATTTTGTTATCCAGATAAACAGATTAATATTTGTTAAGAACGGTTTACTGATTGAAAGAGTATTTTTCTAAAGTTTATCGCTCAAGTTTAATTTGATTTGAAAAATTTTAATTTATTTAATTGTTTATATTAGATTGGCATTGGTATCATGGTTGAACTATTGTCATTAATTCCAAGTCTTTTAATTGTTCAATTCTTTCGACACATTCGAACTTGTCAACAAATTTCAAGAATATATCAGATTTTGCATACGATTAAACCATTTTTACAAATGTAAGTGGATTTTTACATAAATATTTTTTTTTTAATTTCGATCTCTTTCTTTTAGTAATCAAAGAAATAGGAATTCAACTAAGAGAAAACGAATTATAATAAGATTTCCTTGGTGGTGCTTATTTATTACGTATGCTCTTTCATTTTTAATTATAGCCACTTCAATTCTTTTTATCATTGTTCGTGGAATTGAATTTGGAGATTTAAAAACACAAAAATGGTTAACATCAATTATGACTGGATTTTTTTCATAAATTCTACTTACTCAACCTATTAAAGTATAAGTTTCATTTTTTTTAATAAAGTTAATTATTTTTTGAATGTTTTCTTGAAGATTATTTGCACGGCAATATTTTTTGATTATTTTCTTCGAAATTCAAATGAGGATGAAGAAGCAAATGAATATATAGACGATTATGGCATTAGTTTAAATAATGATGAAGAATATCTTCATTCATTAGAGGTTTGTTTTCTTTTTTTCGTTTCAATAGAAAAAAATAATAAAAGAAAAGCTTTCATTTTGTAGTATGATTCATTATATAATTCTCAATCTGGAAAATGTATGAATCGTCTTGATGAAAATCAACTAGCTAATGCTCGTCAATATCGTTTAAAAGAAATCCAAATGTGGTCAATAATACGAGAGTTTTTCATTTATTTGATATTTTTGACGTTGATTTGTATAATAGCTTATTCGAATAGTGAATATAATAGTTTTCTTCAAGTTAATCATTTACGAAAGTATTTTTGCAATTCAAAACAGATCAATTATGATTATACAAAGGTTTATTGATTTTATTTCAATTTTTATTCTTCTAAACGAATAAATCTTTATAAATTTCAACAATCCATGAATATTGGAATTGGTTAGAAAATAGTTTTGTATCAAATCTTCGTGCTCAACAATGGTATAATGGTGAAAACCCGCGGAATTTGAATGGTTTTATAAATGATAAGTCTAATCGAATAATAGGTTGGTCAACAATGAGGCAATTACGTATTAAATTAGATAGATGTTCTGATCAGCGTATTATTTCAACATGTAACAATGATTATAGTTTATTTAATGAAGAAAAATATGCTTTTCAACCAGGATGGATGAATCAAACATTAAAAGAAGTACAATATAGTTCATCAATTTTGAAAGCATTTCAATATAGAACAAGTGATAAATTAGATACTCATATTTATATAGGTCAACATGAAACATATAGTGGAGGTGGTTATGTATATGAATTTCGTGGTCATTTATCAGATCTTAAAAGTAATCTATCTAAACTTCATGAATTAAAATGGATTGATGATAAAACAAGAGCTATTTTTATTCAATTAACATTATATAATCCAAATATTCAATTATTTACTTCAGTTATTTTTCTTGTTGAATTTTTATCAACAGGTTCAATATCTTCAACAGCTCGTTTTGAACCATTGAATTTTTATAGTAAAATTAATTTTATTTAATTTTAATAAAAATTAATATTTTCTTTGCTTTAGTATTTACATCAGTTTTACAATTGGTTTGTACAATATGTTATATGTTCTTTATTATTTATTTTATAATAATCGAAATTCGATTATTATTTGAATTAAAATTAAAATATTTTCATCAATTTCGATCATTTATTGAATTAGGTATAATTATTTGTTCATTAGGTAGGATTGAAGTTTATATTTGGCGTTTTCAAGAATTTAAACGTATTAGTCGTTTATTTAAAGAAACAAATGGATATGATTATATTAATTTACAATTAGTAGTTTATGTAAATGATCTTTTAACATTTTTTCTTGGTTATTGTTGTTTTTTTGGTACGATTAAATTTGTTTATCTATTTCGTTTTAATCAACGTATATCATTGTTTACTGAAACACTTCGATATGCTCGAAAAGAACTTATTTAATTTTCTATGATGTTTTCAATTGTATTTATGTCTTTTCTTAGTTTATTCTATTTATTATTTGTATCAAACATGTCATCATGTTCAAGTTTATTATCAAGTGCACAAATGCTTTTTGAAATGACATTAATGAAATTTGATGCAAGTGAATTAATAGGAGCTGATGCTGTTATTGGTCCATTATGTTTTAGTATTTTTATTTTATTAGTTGTATTTATATGTTTAAGTATGTTTATTTCAATTATTAATGATAGTTTTCGATATGCTCGAGAAAATCAAATCAAATCCAAGATCAAGATATTTTATCATTTATGCTAAATCAATTTTTACATTGGATAGGTAAATATGTTTAGTTAAGTTTGATGACAAATATCTATTGTAAATTTTAGGAATAAAAACTCTAAGTAGATCACAAATCACAGAAGAACAAGATTCTTTATTGCGTTCACAATATTTTCATCCAATAGAAAATTTTCCTGATCGAATAGATCAATTATTGAAAGCTATCACTAGAGTATGCTAATATATTGTTTATTTTCTTTTAGAATAATTTCTTCTGTTCTAATTTAGCTTTATATTGATCAACAAGTTGAACTATTAAGATTACAAAAAGCTGGAGTTTAGAGATTTTCTTTTTTTTTTTCATGCTTTGAATAATATAAAAATAGTTTATAATATTTATTTAGAAGTTTAATTCACTTTTTTATTCATTTTTTCATCGATATTCAAGCGCTTTATTCAATTCCTTGCATATAATATTACATTTTGTTTAATTTGACTTAATAAATACATGTTTGAATTGAAGTATCTATTTCATATTGACTTGTATAGATGACAAAAACTTAATGTTTTCGTTCTTCTTGAATCATTTTTATATAAACTAGTTATTTAAACTATGCACTTGGTGACATTGCTTTAGTAATAGAGAAGCATCTGTTATAGGAAAAATAACTTGCTGAGCTAAATAAAGCTCATTATACTGAATAATTAACAATAAAATAAAGCTTTTATTCAAATATGATTTATATTGAATCAATAACTTTCACGAATGAAAAAAATAATAAATTAACGTTCAGTAAAAACAAGCAAGTAAACATAATATAAACTAGTAATTTTGTCTCATCAGAGACTGATGTTTCTTTTACTACATTGTCATTTGCTATTTCTATTCGATAAATAAACAATATTCAGACTGATGTGCTTCAAAATCCATAGATTTCTTTTTTCACGTATGGATATATTCAATTAATCTACACTTCGATACTATTACAAGAAAAGATTGATCGAATAGATTCCAGTTTATATCGAAGCTGTCATCAATGCTCAGGGTATCTCGAATTTTAATAGAACTAACGCTTCACAAGCGGGACAGAAATTATTTGATCTTTAGTTACTAGATCTCGTAGAAAATGAAGAACAATCGAAAAAGAAGAGTGGAATATCGCTCGAAACGTATATCGAAAACAGATAAACGGAATTATGATGAAATACAAAAATTAAAAATTTATCGTAACTAGAAAGAGACATGATCTAGAAAAAAATATTTTTTTGACATATCTATCTCTGCTAATAAAACAAAACGTAGATTTGCTAAGTGAGGTAGAAGTCACTATCATAGTATTCAACTGCCTATACGCACGTTAATCAACAAACGAAATATTTTTTATTTAAAATGAAAAATGCCTTCCATAATTATTTGCTGATTGGTTAACATCGATAGAATGAAAAAATTTCAGTAATTTTGACGTATGGCCATTGAATCTTAGCTCACTCTTTCGAAGATGACCTACATTGTAAGATATGAATCGATCTATGAATAATGCGCATGATCAGAAACGTGTTTATGAAGAATTCTGCCTTAATTTGATTTTCTAATCTAATCTATTGATAATGACTAATTAGAAATGAGAACTATTTCTGTATAGTGTGTAATGACAGAAACATAACAGAACTCACGAAATAAGCATTGTTTCATATTGATATCAAACATCAGTTGATCTAGTTTTTTTTTCATGCCTACTTAGAGTTGCTCAATAATAGTGATCCTTTAACGAAATAATAAAAAGCATAAGCAAGTTAATTAGGTTTTTATTTAATCAAATACTCCAAATATTTGTTCTAACTATTCACACATGATTGTATCCTTTAATCCATCTATGAAAATGTTTTTATAGTGACCTTCATGCAATGGACAGATGAAGGTATGAATATCTGTGTAAGTACCAGTGAGATTTGGATCAAAAATACATACAATGCTAATATCGGTACCCTATTTTCATATACCTAAAACCTTATTTGAAATCGATAGCTTATTAATTAAAACTAATTTTTTTTATCAATTACGTCAGCAGGGCAAAAAACATTGTGGGTGTGAGTGTGGGTACGAGTTTGGGTATGGGTGAGGACTGCGGGTGTGGATGGTTGCAATATAAGCGAGTATGAAGAAAGGATTGACACCCACATCCTGCGTTTACTTCTTGTCATTGCCCAATGAATGATGTCGAGTTACTTTATATTACTAGTTAACTATATTCTTATTGCGTATTTTTTAATGATATTGATTTCTAGAGGATAAATAAAATTCAGTGTGCTAATTTCTGTACATTTAGTTCGATGAACATATAGGTTTGCTTAATCATAAACTATTTCCTTGTAGTCTCGTTTTGTTGAGGATTTCTTACCAGATGATCTTAACTTCTCCAAGCCTTTTACACATATTTTTGTTCGTAAAACAAACATTTCTCAATTATGTCGAAGACTATTTCTGGAAGAAGATATGCATTATAGTTTTCTATTCAGTGAAGATTCAGTAGAACATACTGAATTCATTTTATCAATCTATGTTGTTGAAATAAAATCAATATAACGCGAATAATATAAAAGTGGAAAGCAGATCAAGTATACAGTTACTTATTCGTATCGATTTCGAATAAATATTAATCAGTGCATATACTCTGTATGGTCTCTGTTCAGTGATTGAGGTCTGCAGAGAAAAACCTACAGTAGCAAATCAGAACTTGTCAAGAAACCGTTGTATTGACCAAGAGGTACACATAACTTGCACATGACCAGAAAAAAAAAGAATAACTAATATCAATTGAATAGCCAGTCCAGACTAGTCTGGTCTACTAAGACCGATATTGTTAATGAAAAAACAATACCAGTTGACAATAACAGCGTAGTTCTATATCTCTGTCCATTACAATATCAGGAGAACATCATCGTTTTCCTGAACTACAGTCATCAACATTGGTGCCAACAAAATAGTTCATGAGGAAAATTCTCATATTTCATGCTTGTTAGATTTTATTTCATCCATAGTAGTCTCTTTTTAAGCAAGTAAATCTACCATAGCAAACTAATCTACTTCATGTTGGAGTAAATATGTGCTTTTATATTTATTTGTATTTTTAGTATATCATTGATTATTAACCAAATAGATAAGATGTTGGTAGGAAAAAAATACGCCTTTCTTCTTTGGATAGAATATCATTTAATAAATCATGTGTTGACTAGGCGATTGCCACCATGCCTCTACATTGATGTGTTAGTCGTTCCTCATTCCTAACAAGGAATTGTCAAATTGACAATAGGTTCGTATAATAGTTGGAGCTTGAGAACTGCACGGGTAACTGAACAACTTCAGAGTCTAGTAGTCGTAGGATCTACTTCTTTCTTATTACATATCCTGTTGAAATTATGAAATTTCATGGAACTTCACAATACCTTAGTAAGGTTTCGAAAGCTGATAGGCTTCGTGTGAAACCAATATAAGCCTTCCTAGGCGAAATAGTACACTAATCTGATTTTTCGGCAAAGTTTTCAAAAATGCTTCATATGATGGGGAATTTGAATTTGTAGCAAAATCAAATTCTTTAAAATCATCTCTATTTGTCACAAATAAAATTAGGGTGTGGGTGTGGGCGAGTGTGGATGGTTGTGGGGTGGATGTTTCTTTTCATACCCATATCCAGGCCCACACAGCCACACCCGTTTCAGAAGAACGCTAAGAGCATCTTGACAATAAGTTCAAATGAGCATGCTTTCTTTAATAAAAATGCGGCATTGTTTTTAAGAAGAGAAAACAATCATTTTAAGCTTAGGGTGCAGGTGACTGTGAATTTGCTCTTCACATTCACACTGTGAAATTTTTAGTGTTTTCAAAAGCGAAAAATATACGACATGAAAGGACAAAATGCAGACCTAAGTCAAACGGTAACGCACTTTTATTAAGAATTGACACTTGGAGCAATGTAATATAGTAAACAGCCGTATTACACGATGAAATCTAAAACTAAGAATAGAAGAGAGATCACTACGTACTTTTTTTATTTCCTATGATTTCAATAATAAATCTCGCGCACTAATGCCACCGATGAAAAATAGAATGATCAATATATCGCGTCACTCAGAATTTTATCAAGTAGTCGTCTGCATGGTAGACAAACAAGTCAGCATGTGCTTGTTATTTAACTAATTCATACACATGAGAAAGACGAAAGAAAAGGCAAATATTGCAAAACTCTTGAAGATTAGAATTAGAAAAGCATTTACTTTTTTACTTCATACATAAATTGACTGATCTAAGTATGTCCTCATAGAGTAAATTCTTCCAAAAATAACGAAATGTAGTCTTATTTGTGTTCTTAGTAGTGATAATCGGTAAGGCGAGCAACGATACATACATTCTCCTGATGCCCTAATTCAAAAGATTACTGTGACTTGGTTCTCAAGAAACTCTACGTACTGAAATACTGAATTGATTCCAAATCCTGATGATTTCTTCACGGTTTAATATAATTTTCAGTGATTCTACCACTATTCGTATGCAATAGTTTGAAATCGTTGCCAACGATGATTGTATTCAAGTTTAGAGCATTTGTTCAAAAGCGAGGTAGAGTAATGAATTACTAGCGATAATCAAAGACTGACATGGATTAGTTCGAATATTATTCAGTTGATTACTGCTTATAGTCTTCATCAAATTTTCATGCAATATTACAATAATCGGATTCATTTCAGAAAGTTGTATTTTGTAATGAAGTCTTGCGATCATCCTCCTCATTGCTAATATAAGCTATTATATACAATATCTTTAATCCTCAATCGATAAAACTTAAAGATAAGTATTAGTATTGTCTGTTATGCAATTACTGCTGCTACAAATTGAGTTGGAAGAATGGTATTGGCTTCATAGAAAGCCGATCAAATGTTGACGAACGAAGCTATGGTAGAAGAAAAGAGAATAAATAACAAATTTTTTCCTTGTGCGTTATTTCAAAAAAGAATATTATTCGAATTTTATTTTGACTTTAATAAAACCATGTTTTTGTCTTGCACAAAATTATATTATTAGATTTGTTTTAAAGATGATTTTAGTTGATAAGTAAGGACGTCCTAATCATATCTACTCCATTATAAGTGATCAAATAAATATTGTTGTGATAATACTGCATCCAACTGATCTTCCTCTCTTCTACATAAGTGAATATAGGAATATTTTCAGTTCAGTTCTAATCTACATCTAAACATTTTTCAAGTCACATTTATTGCTATATTATTCTCTTGTCATTTTCACTACTGCCTTAATTATCGACATTTTGTTATGCAGATCGTGTCTATAGATGATTTTCATGTAATACTATTGAAAATTATCACTACATACTATACATGAGTCATTATCCACCTAAACAATTTTTGACAAAAAAAAAAACAAATTAAAATCAATTTCTATCTGCTTAAAATTGGATTGTATTACAAAGCATATTGTCTTGCTCAATTCTTTTTTTATTCTTTCACAATTTTTTTCCTTCTGTCAAGTTAAATAAGAAATGACGAATATTTTTTATGTTCTTTTTCTCGGCAGATAAATGACTCATAAAGAATCTCACATGCACTTTTTATTTCAATGCAAAGCGACATCAAAACATTGCAATAATTGACGACACGACTTGGTTTACTGATAGAGCAAATTTCACAATTGAAAACGTAATCGCCGCAAGTTTCGAGTAATCAGTCAACATTTAAACGAACAATGTCTCTTCAAGACTTACCTCCTGAACTTTTCCATCGAATTTTCGACTATTTAGATGTCGAAGCAATAATTTTTCATATTCGATACATTTCTACATTCTTCTATGACTTGACGAATACTTACAATCGACATAAGCTTGATTTCACGTCAATATCAAAAGCGAACTTTCATCGTGTTCAGAAAATTATTCAACCAAAAAATGTCGCATCACTTCGCTTTATAAGTTGGAGTGAAGAAAAAGATTATTTTGAATTGTTTTTGTCGCTTTTCAACATTCATCAATTCATTCAGCTTCGCTCATTGACCATATGTAATGTTGAACAATCTCAATTGAATATTATCTTGCAACATATTGCATCAATCTGTCCACTCAAATCACTTTCAATTCACTCAGCAACTTCAAAAATTAATATTGATATTCTTCGTTCCGTGTCTGTAATTATTGCAAAGCCTACTCTTCGTAATCTTATATTGGATTTCGATATAGATCTTATCAACCAAATATCATGGCCCATTTATTGTACTATTCAAACATTGAATATTCGAGGCTGTAATGTCGAACAACTAAGTTCCATTCTTCATAAATCTCCTTGTCTTCGAAGTTTATCGAGTAGATATTGCATTATGAAAAAAATCAACGAGACTATCATTATAAATTTTTGTCATCAGATTATTTCTCTAACACTTCATAATATTCAAATGCCGATGGACCAAGGGGGAAAAAGCGAAAATGTCGTACTCCCATGTACTCCCACGTACTCCCAGGATAAGCTGTAACGATCTTNCACACTTATCTCAACTTTCATGTTTTTAACGAAAATTGACTTTTTTTGGTAGAGCGTGCTTAAGATCTGACTTTTATGCATATTTCATTAGAAAAACCTCGTTTCAGTTTTTTCATGCTTTTTTTCCGTTATCAGTACTTGGTTGGTCAAAAAACTTTTGGCCCATCAATGAAAATCTTGCCCATTTCGCCCATCATTTTTTTCTAGCATAAGAGAAGTTTGCCCATTGGTCTAAAAATCCTGGATACGCCACTGTTTGTAGTTTGATGCAAATATATTAATCTCGTTTTGTACGAGTATCGTGCATACATTCAAATATTACTCATAATTTCATTCATTAAATTCAATGACATACAATCTATTCTTAAGAACATTTCCACTTTTTCAATAATACAATGTCAAATATCATGGATATTGATCTTCAAGTATCTTTTTGTTGCGTTTGACTTACAAATTTCATTGTCAATCACGATATATAAACACTCATGTGTCTTATTGAACTATTATATTGCAAATGGTGCGAAGGATTGATCAACTCATCGTTAAAACAAAGTGGCAATATTTTCTAAGAAACTTAATCGAAAACGATGTAAGATCACTCTTCATCATTAATTCTTCTTGTTTCAATGCTAATTATACATATACGTATTCTTCAACATTACGGAACAAACTTAGTGTGGAGGAAAAACGAATTACAAGAGCAATATAAATATCATCATCCATTATTTTAATATAATTAACAGATTTTTCCACTTCAAAGATAATCGAATAAGAATAATTCTGTGAGAATACCATGATATACTTAAATGATTGAAAATAAGATGTTGTATTCTTAAAAACGAGACCGTTTGAACCAACAGAAAATATATATTGACCGTAAGTATATGGTAGATTTGAATCTCAATCGCTAACAATTTCATTTTGATTTATAAATTCATCTGCAGTTATGAGAGTAAATTTATTGAGTAATTTATTATTAGTCTTAACTCGAAATGTAAAAAAAAATTGATTAATCGAACCTACATTATACTATTCAACTTTTTCTAAAATTGAAAAATTGGTCATCTGGAAAATATCAAAGATACATAGCAACAAACATGTCTGATAAAACAAATAGATTAGAACCGATGTTTAACGAAGGATATACAATATCAATCATAAGGGTTAATCTCGCTTTGGTTTCGTCTCTCAAAGGTACACCTATATATATATATAGATGATACCGATGAGATATTGAAGTGAAGAAATAAAATATGTTGCCAATGAGAAAGAATATTAAGTATTTTGAACGTACAGACTGTCTATCAAATATAAACTTTAGTGTTAGATTAGATCTTATTTAATGAATAAGATATGAAAATTCTAGATCATATGATAATGTTAAACTCCTCTTGTAACGAATACTCACGTGTAGTTTGTCTGTGGCTCGAACATTTAATATTGCACCTGTTATGTGTTCTGATAGACTTGATATTGTACAATCAAGATTATTAATCCCAACACCATTCAGTAAAAATATGTTCAATTGGTCAAAGTTGCTATTTGCCCAATGAAATGAATAAAACATTTCGGTAGAAATGTTTTGTATTGATGATGTAGACATTTTCTTAATGAAAATATAACCACCAAGGTTATTTTCTTATGTAATTGTCAATATATTTCAGTACTTAGAAGAAATACGTAAGTAAGATGGAATAACGAAAACTGTTTACTAATAGAATGATGAATAACAGACAACTGATGTATTTGGTAATTTTTCTTGTAAAAAACCATTGTTTTGTGATGCTTTAATACTATTTTCTCATTAAGCAAATGAAGACAGTAAGAAACATACATAAAACTTAAAAAATGTTTTTTTTCATCGTAATTCAGATAGAAAATAGCTTCTGAAAATAAACAAATATAATCTTTTTTCATCTTACTTTTTTATGTTCAAAAAAAAAATTTGGATAACATTGTTGATGGAGGTTTCTGTTTTAAATGAATGATATAGAGATCAAGTGTAAGATTTAATACAGATAAAATTTCTAAAAATGCATTCGCAAAACGAAGAATTTAATCGTTGATACCCCAAAATGATGTGGTTTCGAATAAACTTTTCATTTATTGCATCAATCAGAAAAGAAATCAGTGAATCATTTCATTTTTATATAAAACTTTGTGTTTAAATTTTTTGTCACTTCATGTAATACCAATAGTCTTGAAGAGATATGTAATTTAACTAGAGCATTTACAAATATTTTTGAATATTTAGATAAAGATCAAAGTGCAAACATATCGTTTGCTTTCAAGGGTTGATTGACTAGATAATAGAAGATTTATGGTCCTTGTTCCCATTTTAGGGTGTAAAAACAAATAGCAGCAGATTCATCTTGAATTAATCGATCTATCCTTCAAAACTATTTTGTGTAATTATTCAAATATTGAGATTTACTGTGAACTAAAAGTTTAATCCAAGCAGCATAAATTTCTTCTGATATGAATATCGGTTCATCAACAATACTAATGGTAAATAAAATAGCTTATTTCTTCGTTTATCTGATTATATACAACACAGCTTGATACATAATAATGATGACATAAACAGCCTTAAGTCGTTTTATCTGTTTACTTTCAATAATTGAGTAATAGACAAAAAAGAAAAACATTGATAAATGTGAATCATTATGATTAATGAATTAGAGTTCAAATGTAAACATTGTTTGCCAATAGAGAAAGAATATCTTATAATCAGACCCATTAAGTAGTTGAAGATTTCGATTTATAACAATGCGATTAAGAGTTATACTGTAGGAGATTATCCCAGTGTAGAGTATCAATGTGAAAGGTATTACAATTTGAAATAGTATTCCTCGTACGAACAATGGTAACTATTTTCCTTCTTCTCATCTTGGTAATATGATTATATATGAGAACAAAGAGCCATGAATCATCATATATATCATGAAGACAACAATAATAAAATCTATTTCCTAGAAACTGAGTCAACATACAAATAATTTTTGTTAAAAATCAAATGATTTACTTGTATTATTTTGAAGACAACTAATAAATAAAAGTACAGTGTGATGTAAAAAGGCCAAAAGAAAAAGTGTCGAAAAATGAATATTAAAAAAGAAAAAAAATCTCGAAACCAGAAACTATTGCAAAAAAAGGCATATGTCTAGTAAACACGGACTTAAGGCATGTATAGCTTATTATTGCTTTTTTCTTTTATTCTAATCGTTTGTATCTGTAGCTAGTAGTAGTAATAATGATAAATGCCATATGATAGAGATTAAGTGAAATAGTCGGAAAATTAATCACTATGCAACAAAAAGTCTATCATTATAGTCGTAGCTGATTAATCTTCATTGAATGTAAAATAGACATTATTGTCAGTTATTTTATTTATTAATTCATAAAAAGAAAGATCTTTGCTCCTATCACATGATTATAGTTTCAAATTGAATAAAGAAACAACAATTAGAAAATATTGGAAATGTACAACATTTAATTGGTACTCATCAAAATTTCATACAAATTTAAATAATTACTTAACACATTGACTTTATTTCATTTATTTATTAAAATTGATATTATAGAGCACTGATAATAAGGAACATAGTCTATTATTCCATCAACCATTGAGTTTCTCGTACCCATTCAGCAAATGTTTTCATTTTTCCATAAATTTCTTTCGTCTTCTCCGCTTGCCGTTCATCAATACTACCAAAGTCATTGTACCATCTCAAATTGTCTACAGTTTCTCGATGAAGTTTAACGAGAGCTTCATTGCATGATAAAGGGACAAAACGTATATCTTTACCAGATACTTCTCGAATCGTTGCACAAATTTCTTCCATAGTTAATTGTTCTGCTGCAATTGGTACTGTTTGTCCATGACCCCATCGCTCAGGATGCTGAAAGCATTCGCGTACAACCTTGCCCGTATCATGTACATCATAAAAAGGAATACAACTATACGAAAGAATTGGATAACGAAATTCAAAATTTTCCGTGTAAGGTACAAAGAATGTGATGAAATTCTGATAGTAGAAACCAACATGAATAAAAGTTACATAAACAAAAGTAGAGTCAGACGGTAATCGCCGAATGTAATTTTCCATTTGAGTTTTACTTCTATGTAATAACAGAAAAAACAGAAAATATTCGTATAAAACTGAAGGGAAAAAACAACTATCTGTTTAGTTGGTTCGTTTAAAGAAATATTCTCAATAGCTTAGGTGACTCAGACATATCCACCTTGACAAAATTTTCTCATCATATTTGATGCATTACTTACATGCAATGCAGAGGTAAATCAAATTGATTTTTCTCGAAGACTGCCGTATCTGGTATACCACTCGTAATAAAATGTTGGACATTCGCTACTCTTGCTGCTTCTATTAAGTTAAGAGCTTGCTTATATTCATCTCCATCTGTTGCATTCCAATAGTTTGTTATCGCGTATACGCCATATGCACCGGCAAATGCTCGACAGCATTCTTCTCGATTATTAATATTACATTTAACCATATGTACACCATGTCTCATGAGTTCCTATCAAAGAAGAACAGTATCAGATGCTGAAAATGAATGGCAAAGTGATTTTAAAAAAAGACTTCTAAAATAATTTAGTGCATATGAATTTCTATCAGTGTTATGGTTAAAGTCCATGATGTTTCTTATGAAAACTGTGGCTGAAAATTTTGTCGTGAACTATTCGTTGCGAACAGAATGTTACAATATTTCATAGTACGATATATTTTTGTAAGGTGCGGGAAATTCAAAATTTGAGCATCACTTTTTTTTCCCAATGTTTTATATATGGTTGAATGGAGCTCGTCAAACTGTATAAGAAAATGTATTTTAAAATTTTTTTTCTTGCTTTATATCAAAAAAAAAATCAAAATACTTTGATGAAATCAGTCCATGTAAAAAGCGAGTACTTTTGAGAAATGGTATTTAAATTTCT